GATGGAAGAAAGGATGGATGGATGGGTTGATGGATGGATGGATGGAAGGATGGATGGATGGGTTGATGGAAGGAAGGATGGATGGGTTGATGGAAGGAAGGATGGATGGGTTGATGGAAGGAAGGATGGATGGATGGATGGATGGATGGAAGGATGGATGGATGGGTTGATGGAAGAAAGGATGGATGGAAGATGGAATGATGGAAGGATGGGTTGATGGAAGAAAGGATGGATGAATGGGTTGATGGAAGGAAGGATGGAAGGATGGATGGGTGGATGGAAGGATGGATGGAAGGAAGGATGGATGGATGGCTGGATGGAAGGAAGGAAGGAAGGATGGGTGGATGGAAGGATGGATGTGCCATGGGTTCCCCAGTTTCACCCATTGTGGCCAACTTCTACATGGAAACAGTGGAAACGAGGGCTTTGCTATCCTACCCTGGATGACATATGTGGGTGAAAATCGTACCAAAATTCACGGATCACATTAACTCAGTGAACCGACACATCAAATTTATCAAGGAAGGATATGAAAAGTGGCAGGCTAGCCTTCTTAGACTGTGAGATTTCCATCAGTAATGGGGGACATCTAAAAGCTGATGCGTACTGTAAACCTACATCCACTGGAGCACAAACTGGACGCTACAATACAGATCGAACACCATCCCCACAGACACAGAAGTTGCTGAGTAAATGTGGTTATCCCAGCTGGACATTTGTCAAACCTGGGACGGCACCTAAAGAAAGCTCCAGCCGATCCAGGAGGGAAGGACAACCTCAGTGATCCCTCATGTGTCCGAGTATCAGAACAGTTAAGATGCATTTTCTCGCGTCTCTGTGGCTTTCAACACGCTTTGATTAGGTCCCCCAGCACAAGTTTCATGCCTTACTTCTAAATTACTGCTTTAATTTTTAAATTCTTTAACTTAAAACTTAAATTTTGAGTATTTCACAAGAAGTAACCTTTTGCTGTATCCTTGCAATAAGCATTAAATGTCATATACAACATTTTTTCTGGGGTATTTCTTTCATAAACCTTTAGGTATACGAGTGTAAGCAGATAACCTGGAGTGTCATTCTTCTTTTTGCCACAACGACCATGATACTCGTCCTCTGCGTGACATTGATACATCAGCCCACTAAGCTCTGCTGGTCCATTGGCTTCATTAACATGCTGGTGAGCAATATGACAGATGCTCCATTCACCTCCTGGGATCCCACTGGCCTCATCATCTTGCTCTCTTTTCGACTCAACCCATCTCTCCATCTTTGTCAGAGTTCATCCCCTTCTTCTTTCCTCGTTTTCCTTCCAAACTTGTCCTTCAATTCAACCAAGAAGTGCTTAATTGTCATGCAGGCAGCGGAAACTGTGGCTCCGATGCAAAGTGACACGCTCCATTTAAAGCTGCATGTTCGGGCATTTAGCCGACACTTGTATCGAGAGCTCTCGCGCAGAGAGCAATGAGAGCGGATGAAAGGGTAGAGGTTCGGAGTCCTGCTCAAGGACACTTCAAAAGGACACATAGTTTTCATTGGATGCTTTGGCTGTCATGGAGATCAAACCGGAGACCTTTCATTTTCAAAAAGGGCTATTTCACCGATAGGCCAGTCTGCACTGAAGTGATTAATTATCATGCAGGAGAGGAAAATCCAGGCTCCTACTCTAATGATTGTACTTGAGAAGCAAGTGATTGATTGAACCAGGCCAAACACTCACAGAGCCTCAGGAAGTGTCCACATCACAAGTGAGATAACTTAAATCCATAGCATCTACAGTTCATTCTGGGATGTAATTAGGTGGAGTCGCCATTAAAGGCGTGAGATGGATATCAAGATATTGAGCCTGCAGGAGTCTGACTGCTCTCTGATTAGATTAGATGATATTGTTTATTCACTTGTACTCAAAGAGGTAGAATGGGCCGAGAAAACCAATAACAAGGTGTATAAATGATCCTGGGTGGAAAATGCCAACAGAACAATTAAGAGCGAGCAGAGCAAAGATGTACTGGTCTATTGGGAAATCATCACGGTGCAGGAAAGGTATACTTTGTAGTTTATAGTTGCTTTAATCTTTATTTTCTTAAATAGATTTTGACCTCATATTTGATTAAAAATATATATATAAAATTGAGCAAACGGTTGGACTTTCAAATGACTTTTTTCAAAAAGTGCCACAGGTAATATGAAAGTGGTTTGTTATTTGTGTCAAGTTCATTTACTTCAAACCTAAAACAAGCCAGTTACTCTTGTGTTTCTTTAGTAGTTGTTTAAGTTAAAAATAATAATGATCGTCTGACACATCCAGTCAGTGCCGATCAGAGCTTTTGCAATATTTGGTTCTTTTCAATTCAGTTTTATTTATACAGTCGCCTCAAGAGGCTTTATGTTGTATGGTAGACCCTAGAATAATACATACAATCACATGACCCCCTGTGAGGCTCTGGGAGGGGCGGGGCCATGTGCTGAGTTGTCTTTTCAGCTTAATTATAACATTAAATGACCGGGTCATGAAATCCCCTTAAACATCAATACTGACAAATATGGCATTTACATGTGCATTTATTTCTACAATAATTAGGTTCTCCTTATAATACCACCTGTTAAACCGGGACTAGTCACCACAGTGGTGGTATACACTCTATATCAGGTACGCCTTGCTACCATGTTAGTTCCCCTTTAGACTTTGGAACTGTCTTAACTCTCTGTGGAATAGATTTAACCAGGGCGGGAAACGTTTCTCAGGGATTTCGGTGCAAACTGACATCATAGGATTGTTGCTGCACATCCATGATGAGAATCTTCCATTACACTACATCCCAAAAGTGCTCTGTTGAATTGAAATCTGGTGACTGTAGAGGCCATTTGAGTACAGTGAAGATGGTAGACTGTGGTCATAGAGGAACGGACATGGTCAGCAACAATACTCAGGTAGGCTGTAGTGTTTAAACCAGGGGTAGGCAACTCCAGGCCTCGAGTGCCGGTGTCCTGGAGGTTTTAGATGTGTCCTTGATCCATCACAGCTGAT